TTAGGGTTTAGGTTTTTTAATACTTAAGATTTAATTTTGTTTTAAATGTCAAAGTTAAAAAAAAGTTTGGTAAATAAAAAAGGCTAATTCTGGGGTTCTAAGTATAATAATTGTTAGACACCTAATAATATTTTAGGTCATGTTAAATAATTAATTATAGCTACCAAACATAATATACATGCATATTTCTTTTAAATTAATAGATGATTTATTAGTTTTAAGGATTACAAATCAATTTTTTTATTAAGTTAGAAAATCAAATTATTTTTCTTGTTTTAAGTTTTTCTTTAACTAAGGATAAAATATCATTTTAAACTAAAAAATAGTACTTTTCAAAGTTTAATAAATTTGGTATAGATTTCAAATTTCTAATAAGATTTAGGGTATACAATATAATTTTTCCTATATTTTGTACGTATCCCATTAATCAAAATTCAATTAGCCTGTTTTATTTTTCTTGACTCTCCCATAAATTTTCTCTTCAACTAATCTATCATACAAAAATACATCTCTATATTTTAATGTTTCTGAATTTAATTTATTCATTTCACAGCTTCGAAGAAATTGTGATTTTAATTTATTAACGACAAAAAGTAGTATCGCATATATAATGTAACACGGTATTAGCTGAACCCACTAAAGTAAGAGACCCGGCTACATTATAAGCATCTATTATAAAGAAAGACTTAAAATGGTTTGATTCTCACCATCTACATATACAAAGACTCAAACTGTTTTTATTTGTCTTGATATAATCGTACTAAATTGACTATTTTCTATTCACTACCGAAAGACAAAATATGATATAAATATACGAGGAAGCAAAGGTTTATGAGCAAGCGACGAGGTTTATAATCACTTATCTCTCTTCCTTCTCCAAACTTAATAATTTTCAGAAAATGAAGGTTCGTTTTTTTGCAATTTGCTTAAAGTTATCTACCTATATATTCTTGCTTATCTATATATATTTGATGAAATTCTTGCTTATACCATTAACTGCTAATTTGCAGAAGACAATTTTTATCATGTTTGAAGTTTTTGATGAAAGTATCAAACAGAAAGCTATGATGATTATCTCGGACTGTCCAGGTACACCAACAAAAATCAATGGCTATACTAAACCAAATAAATCAATGATGGCAGGATATTTCAGTTTATATAGAGAAAATAAGAAATATAATCTATTTAGACTAAAATCATTAGTGTTGTTGTTGTTAGGAGTTAACTCGGTGAAAGTTCACGAACAAGGTGTCCTAAAGGTGAAGGGAGAATTTGATAAGTCTGAAATGATGATGAAACTAAAGATGATAGATGAACATGTTGAGATATTAATCGAGGTTGGGCCAGATGGAGTAGTACTAGAGACACAAGTTAATAGGAGATCAGATGATGCCGGTAGCTCAAAATGGATAACATCGCAACCAAATGGATTGTGGGAGATGGCAAAAGTTTTTGGTGCGGGTGCGGCTGAGCTTATTCTTCCTAATAACAGAGAAAATGGGATTAAGAAACAACCTAAGGAGGAAGAAGGTTACGCTATGGGTTTGGCTAAACGCCGTAAACGTTTTGGTGGGGATCAACTTGATCGGCCGCAGGGTGGAGGAGGCATCGTTAAGAATATCCTTGAATATTTAGAAAAAAGAAAGTTTAATAAAGAATTACGTCGCCAAGGGGAGCGGATGAGGGAAGATGACCGGAACCAAAAGAAGCACTGGATGGACAAAAAAATTGAACAGAAAAAGGGTACAACACAAAAATCAGGTGTTTGTGAATAGTCATTAATGTTTTTTTTTTTTTTTCTAGTATATTAGATTTCTTTTCAGGTGGTGATCGGTTTGACCTCTAAGACCTTCTTAAGAAGTAAAATTTTATCGCATTTTATTTGTTCTGGTGTTTATTTGGTAATGTATTGTTTTTGTTAACCTTTAAGATTTTTGTTAAAACCATCTGATGCAGAAGGAACAAAAACACAAGGGGTAACACAAGGTTCAACGACAATGCGCAAAACAGAAAGTGTTTGGAACACCTTGCGATCCACACTATTAACCGGAGAAGCCGGTACATCCAAGCCACCACTATTAACCGGACAAGCCAATACGCAAGCCCAGCGTTCGGCACAAACACAAAAAAAAAAACCAAAACCTGTTGCAAAGAAAGGGAAGAACGGCAATTAAAAGCAACAATTGAGCTCCATGGACTACCGTGTTCTGGACTAGAATTTCATTTCATCTTTTAAAAATAATGTTTGTATCCTTATTTGTTGTGGTC